GAGGGAGGGAGGAAGGAGGCAAGGAGACCAGGTGTGAAGGTGATCAGGACTTCTATACCAAAGAAAGTGCGTGCCCTTTCTGTGAAAGGAGAGACAGGGAGATGGGGGACAGCGTGCACCCTGAAATGAGGCAGCTGTTGCAGCAGATGGATTGAGACAGGTGGGGAGGTCCAGGGCCGGAGGGGACATGGACTCAGGGGCCAGGTGAACTGCTGCCAGCACCAAGCACACCTGCGGAGGCCTCAGACGGCCCCGCGACCCGAGGGAAGAAACAGCTTTCGCTCATTCATTTAAGCAATGTCCTGAGGCCTCCGGGTACCCCCACCCCGGCCTGCATCTCAGAGCAGAGGGGGCTGTGCTCTGACGGGGGCACTTTCCCAGGCCTGGGAGGGGATGTCAGGGATGTCTCTGTGTGTCCCCATCTCACTTCATTCATTCATCCATTTGCTCATTCATTCATTCACGTGGCCTAATGCACCGTTGCTAAGGCCCCCTCTGTGGTCCCGGGCTGGGCTGTGCTGAGGGCCAGGAGGTGAGTTCTCCGTGCACCCAGGCCCTGCTACAGGCGGGGGGAGCCCGCAGACACCCAGGGTCACAGCCCAGGCAATCTGTGCTCCCGCGGAAGCGATACAGGATGCCCGTGGCATCCAAGGCAGGTGCAGGGAGAAGGCCCGGCCCACCTGCTCCTGGAGCAGCCAACCGTGGGCAGAGCTGCTGGTGAAGGTGGGTCCCTGAGGGCGGGGGTGAAAGGGTGAAGACCAGGCCCTGTGGCCATTCCACGGGCTGCCCTGTCCCTGCCCCTGGGGAGCAAAACTGCATGGAAAGTCCTGGGGTGCCCGTCTAATAAACTCCATGAAGAGGACTGCGGCTCTGATTCTGTGCGCCCAGCAACCAGCTCTCCCCGGGCCTGACCTTTCTACTGCCAAGGGAGCGGAGGACCCCAGCATGGGCCTCTGTCCTTCCGCCTTCAAGACCCAGGGGTCTGGGCCCCAGCCCCTCCTCTCTCAGACCCAGGGGTCCAGGCCCCCAGCCCCTCCTCCCTCAGACCCAGGAGTCCAGGCCCCCAGCCCCTCCTCCCTCAGACCCAGCAGTCCAGGCCCCCAGCCCCTCCTCCCTGGGATCCAGCTGTTCAGGTTCCCAGCTGCGCCCGTTCAGACCACAAATCGAAAATCCCGGCTCCCTGCCCTGCTCCCTCTCCCGCCCCCGGGAGACCGGACCCTGAGGCTCCCGCGCGCTCGACCCTTAAGGGAATGGATGTCCCTTCGCGCTCCAGCCGGGTCAGGACCCGGCCCCCGCCCCTCCCCGCCCCCGGTCTCCTTAAAATACCCGGGATCCCTATGGCAACAGGCGCCCGGCGACAGGTGCGGGTGTT